GGGGCCCTGCTGGCATCTCCCAGACCTTAAATGGCATTGCCCTCTACCCTCCCCTCCCCCAATGCTTCCTACCCAACCCAGCTGCTCTGCTGAGGGCCATGCAGTGAGTAATGGGACTGTGATGAGAGAGCAGCCTGCACTGGCATTAGGGCCTGGTGTCCACACTAACCGGGTGCCCTGGAGGAGGTTGAGGGCGGGAAAGGTGTGTAAGGAGTAGAATTACTGGTTCTCAGAAAGGCAGCTTTGGCTTTAATTGTCTCCGTTCTGACAGGTTGGCGTGACCTTTGAGGACATTGCCCTGTACTTCTCCAGGGAGGAATGGAGCCTCCTTGATGAGGGTCAGAGACAGCTGTACCTGAATGTGATGCTGGAGAACTTTGAACTTATATCCTCGTTGGGTAAGACCCTTACTGTCACCAGTGACCTGGACTTGGCTTTGCGATTTCCCAGGGCCCAGCCCCCAATGTGTGCTCTGTCCTCCCATGTAGACTGTGGTACTGCTTGATTTTCCAGTTTTCTGGGTAGTTGCTGTCTTGGGGAGGATTGGTCTGTTTCCACTGCTCCCTTCTATTCCTGAAGTCCCAATACTCCTCGCTCTTTAAATTGACAGGAAAGGATTTGTGGTTGGTAGTGTTGCAGGAAGCTTAAAGGATTCCCCCTTGATTAGTGAGGAAAGCATTTTCTATATTCCTATTGGTCCTATGTATATATTTTTGAAAAACTGTCTTCACAACCTTATCCTGTTTATTAAGCAGATTTTTTATTAGGGTCTTTTGAATACCTTGTATATTTTATATATTAATTGCTTACGACATATGTGGAACACATATTTTTGCATGTGCTTAATTGTGCTTTGCAGATATTACTCCCCCACATCAGCTTTTCTACAAAGTCCATGTTTTTGGCAACCCTGCATTCAGGCAGGTCTAGTGCCACCATGTTTCTAGGAAGCTCAGGTGCTTGTTACTAGTGTTTAGCAATTAAATATTGTTAGTGAAGTTGTATAGACTTTTTAAAAAATATATTTTATTGATTTTTTTACAGAGAGGAAGGGAGAGAGATAGTTAGAAACATTGATGAGAGAGAAACATCGATCAGATGCCTTCTGCACATCTCCTACTAGGGATGTGCCCGCAACCCAGGTACATGCCCTTGACCGGAATCGAACCTGGGACCTTTCAGTCCTCAGGCCGATGCTCTATCCACTGAGCCAAACCGTTTTTGGCTGTATAGACTTTCCTTTTGTGACAGAGTCACGGCGGTGTTATTAGCCTGCAGTATAGTATTAACATACCTTCCTTATTCCCAGGGAACTCCCACTATTTGTGTGAATGTCTGTCTTTATGGCAATATTCACTTTGTTGTTCTGATCAGAGCTGAATCCACAATATCTCCAAGAGATTCCTTCATAGGGTTTGCAAGTATTTTCTTCTGTTCTCTAGATTTCCTTTCATTTCATTTTGTTTGTTGCTTTTGTGCAGTAAAGACGCTATTTTTCTTTATTTGTTGCCATCTGGACTGTTTATGTTTTCTATTTTGTGTGTTGGTTGGTATCACATTCAGAAAATTCTGTCTAAAACAAACCTCTAGCCAAAGCCGGTTTGGCTCAGTGGATGGAGTGTTGACCTGCGGACTGAAGGGTTCCAGGTTCAATTCCGGTCAGGGGCATATACCTGGGTTGCGGGCACATCCCCAGTGGATGTGCAGGAGGCAGCTGGTCGATGTTTCTCTCTCATCGATGTTTCTGACTCGCTGTCTCTCTCCCTTCCTCTCTGTAAAAAATCAATAAAATATATTTTAAAAAAAAAAAAGAAAGAATTCTTAGAAGTTTTCATGGTCCCACTCTCAAGTAGAGTAA